GGGACTTTCAAGATGGAGTTGGCAGGTACTGAACTACAGTAAGTGCTGGGAAGTCCACATGCAGCCGAGGCCTCTGATGGCCTCTTTTGAGGTCTTTCCTTCTCCCCTCCATTTTCCTCTTTTCCCCAGTTACTATCAAGCCGTGTTGCTGACCAACTCCCAGCCTGACCCTGACACCTGCCTGCACCCTCTCAGGGTCACACACTGCAAAATCTGTCCTTTTGCCTGATGGAAACTGTCGACTCCACTCTTGCTTCTCGTCCTGGCACCGCTCTGTGGCTGGACGGAGGGTGATTTCACACTGCACTGAGGGGCAGTGCTCTGACTCGGTTCTCCTAACAGGTGGCGCTGGATCACTCTTTGTGGCATGGGTTGCCATGTGCTTTGTAGGGTATTTATTTGTGACACTCCTGGTTTCTGCCCACCTGTTGACAGTCACTCTGGCTGAGAAACACTGGTCTCTTGAGTGGAACTGACCTCTGGAGTCAGAGCCTGGGATTCAACGTGCCTCATCAGCTTGGAATGGGCTGGAGACTTCACCCCTGTGCCTAGGTCTCTGCGTCCCTAACGCAGGGTGGACACTGCTCTGCTCATGGCTATGGGAAGGAAGCGCTCGGAGCTGGCCCGGCACAACCCTGCGCCAGGCCCGTGCTGGCTGCCCATGGCCGTGTTCTCCTGGAGGCTGGGAGGATGGGAGCTACCCTCAGTGAGGTAGCCTTCATGCAGTGAGCCTGAAACCTCGCCCACAGAGGGGTCTGGCCTGGCCTTGCGGCTGACAGGTGACCTAGGCCCTCGGAGTGTGCCAACTCTTGGGGGTGTCTTTGCCCCCTGGCCTGTGGCCCTGGGAAAGTGTCAATATGATCTATGGAGGAGGCTCAGGGCCTTGAGACATCAGTGCTGCCCCCAGGGGACAAGAGTCTAAAAATGTCGGCCGGCCTGGCCTTCAAAGGCTGGAGGATACAGCACAGCCCTGCAGGCTGTGAGCAGTCTGTGGAGCCAAATTCTGCAACCCAAAGCTCAGCTGAGCCTTCACAGTAGTTCATAACCCACCTAACTCTGCTGGATGGCGAGTGGTCACTGAGGGCCCACGTCCATGGCATCTATGCGAAAGCCAGCCAGACGGCAGCTCCCAGTAACATGGCAGCAGAAGGCATCCTCCCTGAACCCAGATCCCCACTCCCCTGAGCGGCACAGGGAAAGCTGGGAATAGGAGGCGGGATTCCAACCTCCAGTGGAGGAACAGGGCTGGGCACGTCCCTTTTCTGTCAAGGGAGCGAGAAGGCCCACGACGTGAAGCACATTTTCCTCCAGCCAGGACAGGGGCCTGGAAGAGCTGTGACCACTGTGCCGGCCACAGCCTTTCCCAAGGGTCGTGCGGGGGAGAGCAGAGCGGGTAGTCACAGCTGTGATTCCAGGAATGCGCCCAGGCCACAGGCAGAGGCCACCCAACGCAAGACTGGCACAGGTGTCCAGGCTGAGCCGCTGCCTATGAGCTGGTTCTTCCTGAGCCCCAGAAGCCAGAGAAAGAACCCAATTGTTGGGGTCACGCATAGGGACAGAGATTTAAAAAAGAAAAAAAACACAAGATCAGCTTGGAAACAAAATTTGCCAGGGAACAACACAATGGCTAATAGCAAAGAGCCTGGCCAACAAACTCTGCCCCTGAGAGAAATCACTCCTGAGGCAGCAGAGGCAAAATGGCCATGAATGAGAGATTGTTTCAAAGCAGGTGAACAGCACCCAAACCCAGGCAGAACCAAAGCAAAAGAAAACATGTCTTATAAAATCAAAAGAGAGGTAAAAATGGAATAAATGGACACGAATCATGAGCACAACAAACCAGGAGCTGAAACACAGCACCCATTAAAGAACACATCAAAGGAGCAGCAGGCTCCCGGGAGAGGACGAGGCGGAAGGACAGTACAGCCCTGCCCCGAGGACACTTGTGTTCCTCAGCACAGGCCACCTCGTACAAGTCGGGCTGAGCAGTGTGACTTGAGGCACTACGGAAAAGCTTGAGGGGGGTGAGGGATGGCGCATGATGGGGCGCCATATGGAGGTCAGGGAAGGCTACCTCCAAAAGGACCTGCGACTGTGGAAGAACCTTCCACCCAGGTGGGAAGGCTGCGCTCTGACCCAGCTCTATTATTATGACTAAAACCATGGGGCAAGCTTCTACCACTCAGGAACTGTGGAGGCTTCATTTGGGTTGGAAACGGAGCTGATGTCACTCTGCTCTTGCTCCTCCCTATGCCAGACCCTAGCCAACAAACTAGACAATGCTGCACAGCCTAAGGGGAGTGACATCGGATTTGAAGGGGAGATAAAAATTCTGACATTCTGCAGATGACAATATTATTAGTATAAATAAACTGAGACTCTTAGATAAACCAGCAGAACTGGCAAGTGTCCGCCAATATCACTGAATACAGATTGATATTAAAAACCAATGGTTGGGCTGGGGATGTGGCTCAAGTGTTAGCACGCTCGCCTGGCATGTGCGGGGCGCTGGGTTCGATCCTCAGCACCACATAAAAATAAAGATTTTGTCTCCACTGAAAACTAAAAAATAAATATTAAAAAATTCTCTCTCTCTCTCTCTCTCTCAAATAAAGATATTGTGTCCACCGAAAACTAAAAAATAAATATTAAAAAATTCTCTCTCTCTCTCTTAAAAAAAAATGGTAATAGCATAGGAGGCTGAGGCAGGAGGATTGAGTTCAAAGCTAGCCTCAGCAACTTAGCAACTTAATAAGGCCCTACCTCAAGATGCAATGTAAAATGGGCTGGGGATGTGTCTCAGTGGTTCAATGCCCCTGTGTTCAATTCGCGGTACCAAAAAAAAAAAAAAAAAACCCAAGACGAAGAAGGGAAAAAATGGTATTCTTGTGCATCAACATGAACCAGTCAGAACAGGCAATTTAAAATTCTTATTTATAGAACAAGAAAATAATTTCACATGCCTAAGAATAAATCTAGGAAAAACTTCTACTGATTTTGTAAAGAAGAAAAAAGGTCTTTGAAGGATATGGAAGTCAACACATTTCTTAGAGAGATTTGCCCTGTCATTTGGTAAAATGATTCTCACAGAAGACAGCAAATCTCTGGATGTGTTTTATATCATCCCTTTTTAATTCCTAGGCTTTATATATCTTTCAAGGCAAAATTCAGAAATTCAATGTAATTTAAATCTAGATCCCAAGTGGACATGTCAGTGAACATGACAAACTGGTAATTCATACAGAAAAGGAAGCTAAGAAAATGTGGAACCAGGAAGGGAATCTTGGCCTCCAGAGAGCGGGGCTTCTCATGAAGCTGGCGAGGGCTGGTGAGAAGGTGCACTGGGCCAGGCGGCAGGGCGCACACAGCAAGCCCAGGCTCTCAGGGGTTCTGGGTGGGATTCCTGGGCACCAGGGTGAAGGTGCTCCTGCAGGACCAGGCAAAGCCAGGACCTTGGGTTGTGAAGAAGAGAGGTGGGCACTGAGGTCGGGAGCTGCTGGCCAGGGGTGCTGGGCTTGGTTGGGACCGTGGCGAAGGACAGATGGTGCCACCCACAAATCCCTGCTCCTGATACGACACAGCATTTAGAGCCAAACAGACCAACTTGAGTCCACTCAGCCCAGCCCTGCCCTCTGAGGTAGAAATGGAGGCACAAGGGCCGGGATGGCTTGGCAGGGGTCACAGGACGACCGACTGAGAGGCCCCCAGGAACCTCATCTCAGGGCTGAGTTGGGTGGGTTCTGACCGAAACACCGAGAACACTCTGCCTCTTGCACGGCCTGTGCCCTGCGCCTCCCCCCGAGCTCTCTCCTCCCTTGGCCTTGGCAATTCTTCCTCCTTGTTCTCATCTCCTCCTACTGGCTCCTCCTCCACCCATTTCTGGACTCTGTTTCTCTCTGACACTGTGGCGCCCGATGTCTGCACCAACCCCGTGAAGAGCCCATGGGCTGCTCAGTTCACTCTCTCTCTGGACGGCTGCAAACCCGTGGCTTCACTTACAAGCTCTGAGCTGAAAGCTTGTCTACCCGTAGCTCCGCTGGACTCTCCCTGGACAGCACACCAGGTGACCAAGCTGCAGACGGCCACGTGGGGAGGACCACCACCCAGCAGGAGCCCACGGGAAACCCACTGGTTAGTCCACAGTCTGAAGGCAGGACGCCACCCCGACGGGGCGTTTTCTAAGCCGAGAGCCTCACGAGGACCACAACAGACTGGTGGTCCCAACAGGAACGTGAAGCGGCCCTCTTCACAGCGTGGGATCATGTTGCTAGGAACGCAGTGTCACAGAGTCTGTCTGTAAGGACAGCAAGGGTCCTGGACAGTTGGTTTAGGATACAGTAGGGTTAGGGCTCCAGTCCCAAAGGGATTTGGAAACCTAGATGGGGCACTCAGGAAATAGAACCACGTCACCAAAGTTGGGCTCAAGACATAAAGTAAGACTCAGCCAAGCGGCAGCTCAGCTAGTCAAACAGGGGACCATACAAGACCAGTCCAGCTCCCCAGCTGACAGCAGGATGGATCAGTCACAATGGACACTGAGTGCTCTCGGCCACCAGGCACCTCAAAAATGGCTATTTCAAAAGACTTTCTTCTCTGGGCCTGGCTTAATTCAGTTTCATGTGGAGCAGAGGAATAAGATTCAATGATGTATTTCACTGCATGCTAACCACAGCTAATGATGATAGGTTGTATATTTAAAAATTGCTAAAAGAGAAGATTTTAAATATTCTCAAACACAAAAAAATAAGTAGATGAGGTGCTCCATATGTTAATTACCTTGATTTAATCAACCCACAAAGTACACATGCATCAAAACACCTCATTGCTCCCCATAAATATATACCATGATGTCAATTAAAAGGAATAATACAACATTTTTTTAAAAATTTGTTCTCAGTTCTAAGTCTATTCTTTGGAGTTTAGAGACACATTTGCAGAACTAAGATGAATACAGAGTAAGGCGCAAGAAGAAACACAAAAAAGCACTCTAACTCCTTTACCTGGTCCCAGGGAGAGACGGTGCCTCCGAAGCACATGAACAAGTACCCCATGGCCACGAGACACATCCAGATCACCAAGGAGAACACACGCAGCAGCTTCTTAAACACAGACTCAATGCAGACGAGGATGAATATCGCGAAGAAAATGGCCAGCGCCGTTGGAACTGTTATTAAAAAGGCCACGTGGTCTTCAACTTCCTGAGGAGGAGAAAAATGAGAAGTTACAACTGAGAGATCCCATGAAACTTGTAATTTATCTTGTTACATTGTTCTAACATTAATCAGTGTCAAAGTCTACTGGTGTTTTAGTCAAATTTGTTTTAATTAGTTATATATGACAGTAGAATGCATATATACACTTTGATATATCTTACATAGATGGGTATATTTTCTAATTTTTCTGAGTGTAAGTTGCAAAATCACATCAGTCATATACACATACAGTAATAATGTCTGTTTCAGTCTACCATCCTTCCTATCCCCATAACCCCGCCCCTCATCTCATTTCACTTCCCTCTACCTAATCTAAGGTAACCATTCTTCTTAGTGCCTCTTCCCTTATTGTGAATTAGCATTCAAATATCAGAGAAAACATTTGGCCTTTGGATTTTTGGTATTGGCTTATGTAGCTTAACATGATACTCTCCAACCCCACCCATTTACCAGCAAATGCCATAATGTTCATTCTTCTTTAAAGCTGAGTAATATTCCGTTTCATATATATATATATATATAATATTTTCTTTATCCATTAATCTATTGAAGGACACCTAGGTTGGTTCTATAGTTTAGCTATTGTAAATTCAGCTACTATAAACATTGATGTGGCTGTGTCACTGTAGTGCTGATTTTAAGTCCTTTGGGTATAAACCAAGAAGTGGGATAGGTTCCATTCCAAGTTTTCTGAGGACTCTCCATACTGCTTTCCACAGTGGTTGCACCAATTTTGCAGTCCCACCAGCAGTGTATCAGTGAACCTTTTCCTCCACATCCTCACCAACGTTTATTATTGCCTGTATTTTTGATTACTGCCATTCTGAATGGAGCGAGATGAAATCTTAAGAGTAGTTTTGATTTGCATTTTTGTCAGTTTTTTGCTTCTGTGACTAAAGTGCCCAATCAGCCAACTATAGAGGAGAAGGAGTTTATTTGAGGGCTCAGGGTTTTAGAGGTCTTAGTCTACAGAAGGCAGGCTCCATTCCTCAGGGCTCTAGGTGAGGCGGACACCATGTTAGAAGAGTGTGGCAGGGAGAAACAGCTCACATGATGATCAGGAAACAGAAAGAGAGAGCTCTTCACTCTCCAGATACAAAATATATACCCCATAGCCACGCCCCCAATGAGCCACCTCCTCCAGCCACACTCCACCTGCCTCCAGTCACCACTCGGTTAATCCCATCAGGGACTAATCCACTGATCAGGTTTAGGCTATAACCCAATCATTTCTCTCCAAACCTTCTTGCACATTGTCTCACAGGTGAGCTTTTGGGGGACACAACATCTAAACCATAATAAGGATTTTAAAAAATTATTTCAAAAGTAGAACAGTTTGAACTATTGAAAACTCATTCTATATTAAATAACCAGTTTTTCTGAATAGATCATACAATATTGTCTATTTAAACTAGGCAAAGAATCTAGATTTTAATCTTTACATTTTTCCCTGAGAGATGGGGAAATAGATTTTATATAAAAGAAAATGAGAAAATGCAAGAGCACAATGTGTCAGGAGGATCTAAGACACCAACCTCCTCGCCTGGATCAGAGACCGTAAGTACCCGGCCTTATCATGATGAGCTTTTACCTTAATGCATAGCAATTATAGTGTTTTAAAGGGATTATAGGTTAATAGAAAAGGGTCAGAAAGTCCTAAATATAGAAGGCAAGAGCCCAGAAAATGCTTACAAGAATATGCCATGTTTGCTATTTTATATCCCCCATCTCTCCTGGGCTCCCATGGCAAAAGAAAAATAGGCATTTATTATTTAGCCTCTTACTGATGATGCATTTTTCTAAATTCGTTTTCGTACATCCATACCCATTTTCTCTTTATCTCCCAGTCGCCCCTTCCCCCCATGGGCAAACCAATTATTTCGGTTCCGTGCAACGTCAGCCCCATGTCAGGCACCATGTTTCCTCTGATCACACAAGCAGGGACTGAGGCTTAGCACTGGCGGAATGTTAACTGGAATCTTGCTGTCTACAGCATTCGTGAGAGGATGGGATGCAGCCTCAGGTCTTTAATCCTCACCCGGGTGGGTGGAGTTACTCAAACACCCGCAGGGGCATCAGCTGAAAAGCCAAGCATACCCATAATCCCTGCTACTTAGGAGGCTGAGGCAGGAGGAGTGCATGCTTGAGGTCAGTCTCAGCAACTTAGCAAGACCTTGTATGGAGCAGCCAGGTAATAAATACCTAAGCTGCCATGATGGGCACAGGGCTCCTCCATCCCATCAGCAGCTCCAGCCTCACACTAGAGATGGCTCCACCCAAGTGCCAAGCCACTGTCCTCAGAAGAAGTGCAGATCCCCAGAAAACCCCGCCCAGGTTCCCAGAGAGGGAACAGAACCAGAATCCTGGCCCCCTTTCCATTGACTTTGTTTCCTTTTCTCTCCCAAATTATGTGTGCATCAGCTGACACCTGGGAAAGAGGCACCCGAACGAGGGAAAGAAATTCAGAAATAAAATAACTATATTAATTTCCTTCTCCCTTACAACAACCCTACAAGGGGGCCCTCCTGTGAGCACCATTCTACAGTTGGGGAAACTGAGGCACACGAAGGACTGCGGTGGGTTATAAGGCTGGCGAGGGAGAGCGCCAGGACTCCAGCCAGGGACGGCTCGCAGGGTCTGTGGCAGGTGACGGGCCCTCTGGTCCTGTGGCAATCAGCAGTCCAATCAAGGGCGTCGGCCTTCACCTGGCCAAAAGGGTTTCTCTCCAGAACTGGCAGAAAGCAAGGAGATCAAATGAGGTAATCTCCTCACTCGGGGCCTCCAGTGCCATTGGCATCCATGACCAAGTCCCCAAGTCATTACTCGGACCCTTTTGACGGCCATTTCCAAAGGGCATTAGACATCCACGCGGCGCGAGAGCTCCCCAGCTCTTAGAGATGCCGTGAGCGTTCAGAGAGGGAAAGCAGCCTCTGGAGGACATCAACTTTGAGACCATGATCACTACACACGGATCCATGGAAACCGGTTTCACCTGCAGCCTCCACAGTGAACTCACTGCGCACGGGAAACCAACCACCATGCGGCCAGAAAATCACTGTTCTAAGGACTGCGGCTTCTTCCACGAACCCAGCAGGGAAGAAACAACTGTGGCCTCCGCCCGCTCTTACATCGCCAGAAGACCGCAAATCGGAGACAAAAATGACGACTGCCAGGTGGAAATTAGCAATTGCAGGAGGAAGGACAGACGGACAGAGAGGCAGTCCTCACAGGAAGTGGGACCAAGTGAGTGGCCCCAAGGAGCCTTTCTTGGAAAGCCGTCTGTCAAGCGGCAAAGCCCGATGTCTCACCTTGCTACGTGCAGTGCCTAAGACTGATGCTATTTTTGATTAAAATATTGGAGTACCTATTCTCTTATTTTCTAAAATTTGATCGCTGAGGAGTAACTCGTCTGGTCTGACTTCTCCATTAGTTACAGAGGCATAGTGGTGGCTCCTGAAATCCCTTAGAGACCCGCCAAATAGTTTAATTTCTTTTAAATTGAGAACAACAACAACATGGCCAGCGAGCATTTTGGGTTAACGATTGCATTATCCTTGTGGTAACACAGTCTCCAAGGGTCATTTCCATATATTTCTAAGGAGGATGGCCCCTAAGCCATAACGCCATCCCAGGCAGCCGAGCACCCTCGCCCACAAGGTGTGTGACATCACTGTGCATTCCACACAGCAGAGGAGGAGGGCCAGCTTCCAGCATTAGGCCTGCCTGGTGGGCAAGCCAGAGAGCTACCTGGCCAGGGCTTTAGGACACACAGCTGCTCATGGTGGTGACCCTGCCTTTAGAAAACCTGGGCCCACGGAACAACAGGAACTCTCTGAGGAGGAGAGCGCCACTTATTCCTTCTACACACGTCTTGGATGGCCAGGTCTGAACACGGTTTGGTATGGACTTCTCTATAAAACAGGACCTTTTTTATCAGTGTCAAACAAACAAGCAAGAACATAAGCACCTTCATTAACGAATGTATAGGCTTGTAAACTCCAGGCTTGCTGATCTCACGAGGAACGTTAAGGCCAAGTCCACACAATGAGGACAGGCCCTCAGAACACAGTCCCACACTCTCCCCTGCCCCAGCCCCCCCAGAGCACGGGAAGGGAGCTGCACCCTGCAGCTGTGTTCTCCCAAGTCAGTCCAGTTTTCAAACTTCAGAATATAAAACAAAGTCACTCGTAAAAAACAAGCCAAAACATCATCCATTCAAATGAAATATTTTTGTATTTTCCAACCCTCCCTCCCCTGGTGCGAATAAAAACATTTCCATACAATGCAAACAAATAAAATGTATGGAAATGCCCTTAGTAGTCCTAAAATGTACTAAAACACCTTTAAAAAGGTTAAAGAAAATACCCCGCGAGGCACAGTGAGTGAGAGGCACCAAGGTGCCTTTCACAAAGGAGCGGCCGGGCACCGGTTCATCACGGCCTCGATAATGGGTTCCAATCACTCTCTTCCAACATTCTATCCTCTCATTTTTGATGTCTTTTCTGGTGATTTTGTACTGCTTCTTCTAATTGCTGGGCCTATTAAATACCCATTGCTTTTATTTATTATGCGACAATTCTGCTGCCTCGGAGGCTTTTCCACAGAACCATGGTGTATCTGTATTTCCCTCCCTCCCGTCTGCATGGGTTTCTTGTTGTGGTTGTGGTGGTGGTGGTGGTTTTGTTGAAAGCACCATTTTTCATCTAGATGGGAAAGGGGAAAGGACAGTCTACATAAAATAATGCTTCCTGATGAAGAAACAGGCTTCAGGGAAGTGCTTCACAGTCAGACAAAGGGCAGAAGCCCACGCCCACTCCTTGCCACTGTGTGCCTGGGGGAGACGGAGCCGACCTCGGGTGGCCTCTCCGTGGCACACAGACTCAGGGGTGTGTGGCTGCTGGTGTCTGGCACATCACAGGCACACTGCAAGTAACAGTGATGGCTGGGCAAGATGACCTGTGCGTGTAGCCATAAAACAGGTCTGA